TATAGAAAATAGCTGAATATAAACCTAATTATTTTTAGTTTACTGCTTGCCATCAATAAAAAAAGGAATAAAAAAAAAGTAAAAAAATAAATTTTAAAAAAAACTTAAAAAAAAACAAAAAAAAAAAGGTAAAAAATAGTTTGCTCTGGGACTCGAACCAGGGTCGATTCGATTTCTAACCAAGCGCTTTAACCGTCTGCGCTACAAGTACAGCCGCCCGGCAGCTGACAAGCTCTGGCATTGAACATTTTAGTGTGCCAGAGCATGTGAAAACAACTATTTCTATTTTTTAGAAAAACTTTCTACTTTTTAGAAAATGTTTCTATTATTTAGGGTTAGCTTAATTTTAGGGTTAGGGCACTCATTTTTAGAAAAAGTGTTGCCAAAATATTTTATTATTTTCGTTTGCCTTTCTATTTTTCAGAAAATTATTTCTAATTTTAAGGGCATTTTTTCTAGATTTTAGGGTGATTTTAGTTCATGGTAACCATTTTCTACATTTAAGAAATACTTCCTGGATTTAAGGAAAACTTTCTTGACTTAAGAAAAATTTCCTTAGAATTAGAAATAACTTTCTTGAATTTAGAAAAAAGAAATTTTAATGGCGATTTTCTAAAATTTAGGGCTAAATTTATTTTGAGTGATAGCTCCCTTTGATTTCATGAGCCATTCGATCTATCTATGCTTTTCAAGTCATGACTCCTATGAAACATGGCTCATACTATTCAAGGATTTTATATCATACAAAAATATTTATACTGCCTTTACAAAAATAACAAGAGAGAACGCTATAGTCGGGTTGGTGTCCCGACTATCTAATACCCGTCACTCAGCTAAAGGGAGTGCGAACGCTGTAATCGGGTTGGTGTCCCGACTATCTAATATTCGAACCTCAGCTAAAGGGAGTGCGAGGGAGATGGATATATACATTTTAATTGCGTATACCTTTTTATTGAATGGTCCGATTTGAAAAATGTCTTCTACATTTCGATAGGTATAAATATTCACAACAAAATTGCATTTATACTTCTCGGAAATTTTTAAAGATGTGGGCGCAGGACACATTTTAAAATCGTTAATGGGCGATTGTGGGCGTTAGAGGGGGCGTGGCGCTCGGCTGAAATAAACTTGCGCTGCGTAGGAGGCCTAAAAATATGTGTGGAAAATCTTAACCTTCTAGCTTTTGTAGTTTCCGAGATCTCAGCGTTCATACGGACAGACAGACGGACAGGCGGACATGGCTAGATCGACTCGGCTAGTGACCCTGATCAAGAATATATATACTTCATGGGGTCGGAAACGCTTCCTTCTAGCTGTTACATACTTTTGCACGAATACACACAAAACAAGAAGGGAAGCTACCTTCGGCCAGCCGAAGCTTATATACCCTTGTAGATTAAAAAATGCTTCCTCGGTGCAGTTCCAGATTTCAGATTCAGCGTTTCTATTTATTTAAATTTTGTTTTTAAGTAGTCAAGAATCAAAACGCCTACTTCCTACAAAGTTACAACGAATTTTCTTATATTTGTTTGAATATTCCTATGGGAGCCTTAAGATATAGTGGTCCGATCCGGCTCGCTCCGACATATGTACTACCTGCAATAGAAAGAAGACTTTCGGGAAAGTTTCATCGCGATAGCTTTAAAACTGAGAGACTAGTTCGCATAGAAACGGACAGACAGACAGACGGACATGGCTAGATGGACTCGGCTATTGGTGCTGATCAAGAATATATATACTTTCTGTGGTCGGAAACGTCTCCTTCACTGCGTTGCAAACATCTGATTGAAATTATAATACCCTCTACCCTCGGGACGAAACTTTCGCAAAAGTCTTCTTTCTATTGCAGGTAGTATATATGTCGGAACCGACCGGATCGGACAACTATATCTTATAGCTCCCATAGGAAGGATCGGAAAAAAAAACTTTAAAAAATTCTAGCTTCGGTGTTTTTTGAAATATTACCTTCGACTTTTGGGGATGATATTTTTTAAATATTTCTGAATTTCGAATTAATTATTTAAAAAATCGGACTACTATATCATATAGCTGCCATATGAACGATCGGAAAATTAATGGAAAAGTAATAGGAAATAAATTCTAGCTTCTTTGGTTTTTATTGTATTATCTTCTACTCTAGGATATGACTCTTTTTAAATATTTCCGAATTTCAATTTTAATTTGATCAAAATCGGACGACTATATCATATTACGATCGGAAAATTAATGAGAAATAATAGAAAATTGAACATTTTTGCGATTTGTTAATTAACAGGAATGATCTGCAAGGGTATATAAGCTTCGGCTGGCCGAAGCTAGCTTCCTTTCTTGTTACAGTTGATTTTACCAAGTTTTTTTTTTGTGTGTACAATATACCCTTTTACTCTACGAGTAACGGGTATAAAAATATAGTTATTTCTGTGATTAACAGATTAGAGATATTTTTGACCTGAGTCATGACTCTAAGGAAGTCATGAGTCATAGGGAGTCATGAGCTATTGGAATCATGAGGTTGTAGATCAGATCAAGTGGATCACGTTAGCCAGGCCATGAGCTGAGACATTCAGATGCAAAAAATTTTCCGACATGAGCTACTCGAACCTTTTTTGAAAATGTGAGTCAAAGGGCCCTATAAGTCTATTTACACTGGGGTGGAGTTATGGAGTTATGGGGTTATTGGCATAAGCCTGTTTTTTTTACATAGGATGTGTATAGGCAACTAGATGTGGGCAGGTAGATGTACTTTTAGGGTCTTTGGTATTTCGGAGTATTTTTTTGTATATTTCGGTATATTTTGTATTTATTTCCTATCGTTGAAGGTCCATCCCTAGTCAAATAAACAACACAAGCAACAAACACTAGATGTCATTACTCGATATTTGGAGTTAACCAAGTAAAAACACTTTTTTGGAGTAATCGGGTTATTGGCTCACTCGATAGGTTACCCCACACAGTGTGACTAGACTATATGACTCCACTCATGCAGGGCTCTAGTATGTACATTTCGGCTACATTGGTGATACTGTTGTTGCTTACGCTTAAAATACTGTGATTAATATACTGTTCTTCTTGAAAAGTTAAACTGATACATGACTAACATTTCTATCTTTTTCTTGCTTAGATCTACAATCTGATGCCAGATGTCCATATTTCTTGCAGATATGGCACTTGCAGTCCTTGTATTTGCAGTCCACCGATTTATGGTTCCGCCATCCGCAATGTTTGCACGGCATTTTCTTATTGGTATCTGCCTGATTCTCTGTCTTGTTGTTGTTTTGGTTGCCGCCTTTCCGTTTATTGCGGCTTCGGTTGACCTAGTGTACAGCGTCTGGAGATTGCTCCTGATGAATATGTTCTCTAGTCGGCCCTTTTGCTGCAAATATACTATATTTATACCTATCGAAATGTAGAAGACATTTACCAAATCGGACCATTAATTAAAAAGTTATACGCAATCAAAATTGTTTATATATCTATCTCCCTCGAACTCCCTTTATCTAAACGATTATTAGTCGGGACACCAACCCGAGTACAGCGTTCGCACTCCCTTTAGCTGAGTGACGGGTATTAGATAGTCGAGACACCAACCCGAATTTAACAAAAAAAATAGCATCGCCATATCTTCGCTTCTGTCAAATGGATTTTTTTTTAAACTTTTTTAAATGTTGTAATATTGTCATAAAAATTGGATATCGTTTGAGACAGTGAAGAAAATCTCGATACGTTTCACAAAGAATCACTCATATATAATCTAGCCATATCCGTCTGTCTGTGTGGATGAACCTATGATCTCGAAACCTTTAAAGCTAGAGGATTGTCATTAAGCCAGCAGATTCTAGGGGTTCCTAAGCAGCGTAAGTTTGCTTCATCAAGATGCCACGCCCCTCTGACGTCTACAAAACGCAAAAAACTGTGGCGTATAAACAGCATCATTTCCGTGCCATAGATGGCGGATGGGGCTGGAAAAAAGATCCCAGTTCTAAAACTTATTACTTATTTAACTACTAGTCCTTTATGACTCTAATTCGCAATATGCTAATCCATAATCTATATTTGTTTAAGTTGGTCGCGCGAAAAGCATACAGGGAGGCAAATTTATATTACAGTTGTTAACCTAAGTAACGGGTATTTAATAGTCGAGGCACTCGACTATAGCGTTCTCTCTTGTTGATTTTATGTTGTGTGGGAAACTCAACTTGAACACAAATACTTTCTATTAATTATACAGGGGTGGTCAAAAGTATTTTCACAAATGTTAATGTTAACTGTACTTATATTTTGAACTTATAATATAAACTTTTGGCACCTATAGAAAGAGCACTTCAATTCCGTTTAAATGACACAAAAATTTTCTTAACCCATTAAGACCCCTTTGAAAAGTGAGCAAATTTTGCGAAAGTCAAATTTTCAACTTTTTTCCTGGGGCTTAAAACAAAAATGTTTTGATGCAAAGTTGTTCCCCAATCAAAATTAATAATAACTGCAAAAAAAAATTTTTCAAAATATTTTTCCTTGTATTTTTTATGATTTTTTGAATGGAGACCTCTCAGTAAAATTTTGTATGAAAAGGAAAAAAAAGCGGCAAAAATAGCTATTTTCAAAAAATCATAAAAAATACAAGGAAAAATATTTTGAAAAATTTTTTTTGCAGTTATTATTAATTTTGATTGGGGAACAACTTTGCATCAAAACATTTTTGTTTTAAGCCCCAGGAAAAATATTTTGAAAAATTTTTTTTTGCAGTTATTATTAATTTTGATTGGGGAACATCTTTGCATCAAAACAACGGAATTGAAGTGCTCTTTCCATAGGTGCCAAAATGTTTATATTATAGGTTCAAAATATGAGTACAAGTAACATTCAAATTTGTGAAAATACTTTTGACTACAGTTGTATAACAAAATTAAATTTAGGAGCATTAACTAAATTAAGTAAATAAATAATCAGTTAAATTGTTCAATTTGCTTTTTTTAGTGTATAATTAAATCATACGAAAGTTATTTAACTTGAAATTTAATTTATTAAAGGGACGTAAAACGATTAAACTGGAATCCCTAGATAACATTCTCATACATCTTCGGGTTTCTCTGGATGTTTTCCTCCATAATCTTCTTGTGCATTGTCTCCCAAGTCTCCAGCCTGGCAAGGACATCTGGTAGGACTTCGCGTACTTTCAAGCGATTGAACTCGGGGCCGTCACGCAGATCTACGTTAGTCCTAAAGTTATAATTGGGCGTGTAGCCGTTGATTTTCAGGAAATGGTCAAAATAGAAGGGAACGATCTGCTCCTGCATGTTGTCAACTGTCAGCAAGGAGGTGTGGGTAATTTGGTCGCCAGTGTAACCGTCCTCCCTAAAGGCGCGCACAAAGTTCTTAGTGTTTTCAGAGATTACTAGCACTTCCTTTTCCTCTGGAATGACCCTCTTCTTGAGGTAGAGCCTCGGCAGGGGACCCTCGCGCTTCGGCTTCTTAAAGGGCGGCTCCAGGTTGCGGCGCACCTTCTTCATCTCCATGTCAATGCGACGCTCCACCTGATAGGCCTGGTGAGAGAGCTTTTCTCTGTAGCGGCGACCTTTACGCAGGGTAGCCTCCACGGCCCGGACCTTCTCAATGTCCATGTGCTCAAACTTGGAAAGAATTTCCATGACCACATCGCTAATGGCGGCCACCATGTCAGCAGCACACGGCAAGACATCACTGGTGCCGCGAACCGAGTCTGGAACCACGCGGCGCCATACCTCGGCCAATACAGCGCGGTGCTTGTTAAAGTCCTCATCCGCAATCGTCTCCTCGATGGGCCGTCCAAGATATTGGTGGACCCGCTCCTCCATCTCCTTGGCACGGTCTTCCATAAAGAATTTCTTTGCCGACTTGCGAGCAACGTACTCTTGCTTCTCCTTTAGGTCCTTGGTGCACCAATCGATAAAGGTCTCCTGTCGGCCTTGTAACTCGGTGTGAATAGATAACGTGAAGTGCATTTCCAGAAGCAACATAAAGGTCTTGTTTTTCAGGCTCTCGACGCCCTGCAAGAAGGACTCTGCGTCGGGGAAGACCTGCAGGATTGGGTGGACCTTTTGCATGTAGACGTCGTAGTAGAAGGTGCGGATGGCCCAGGCATCGTCCTTGTCCCGAACGCGAATGTTGACTATGGTTCGCTTCGCGATCGAGACGTCGTAAGGCTCCAGTTCCAAGTCCTCCTCGTCGACTTCCTCCGCAGCTTGCTCCTCGTCGTCCTCGCTTTTCGGACTCCCGCGACGCTTACTTTTGGGAACCAGATGTATCCAGTCGTGCTCCGATCTCCAGTCCTGGTCACCCATCAGATAGTGGAAGTTCTGCAGCATAATGCATCGGATCCAGTGGCCCTCGATAAACACAATGTCCATGTTGAGCATCATCAGCTCCCGCTCTAGGTCCCGGTACTCTTGCTTGAGCTTGTCGGTGGTCTCGTAGTACGACTTCACCTGGTACACCATCGTCATGGCCGCGTTGTACTCCTTCTTCTTCCACTTGGCGAACAATGCCTCGTACAAATTCTTGGTGTTCTTCATGTCCACCCAGTGGCGCTCGTTCATGCGATCGTAAATCTTAGTGCGCACCATTTGCCCTTGTATGAGCAGGGATTCGTACTTCAGACGCATGGCGTCCTTGAGCAACTGAATGCTGGTTTTGAATTTAAAGGACTTAATGGTGGCGCGACTCTTTAGCTCCTCAATGTAGTTCTCGTCGAGATCAGTGATGACTGCCCCATAGTACTTGCGGTTCCCGGGCCCAAGCAGCGTCTTACGGACGTCCGGCACCGGCACTTCCAGTCGCAGGCGCAGGCTATTTCGCAGTCGAGTACTGAAGGTAAAAAACGTATCCTTGGGTCCCAGCATATCGGCCTGCTCCTTGTGCTGACCGGAAAAAGGCAGCATGCGGTAGGGATCCTCGTCCTCGGCATTCACGTCAATAACCGCCGCGTGAAAGCGCGCCCGCCGCATCTCTTCGAAAGGCACCAGTGGCTTCCGTATATAATCCAGGGGCAACTTAGTTTTGTCCTCGATCACCATGTAGCTGCCGCTGTCGTTCGACAGGTCAGTGCACTCGGAGCTGCTCAATGAGGTAAGGCAGTTCTCAATGCTCCGAAGGTCCTCCTCCAGGTCCGCGACCACTGCGCGGCGGTCCACTAATAGGCGCTCTTCACCGGGCTCAATGTCCTTGGTCTCGTAAATGGCCTCGCGGGTCTCACGCAGTAGATCCAAATACTGTTTTCGGCCCGGAAAGTCTAGTTTAGCCAACTCCTCGGGGTCCCGCGAGTGGAAAACGAAGTCGTATGGCCGGCAAAGGTCGGGCACTATTTCGCCGGCAGCCTCTTTATTGTCAGTTCGGGTGGCGGACAAATGCTCTGAAATCATCTGGCCAAAGTCGTAGCTGGGCATGGTAAGATCCTTGTTCACATATTTGCTGCTGGGCGGGTTAGCCCTCTCAAATTTGACCACCGGTTCCCGGACCTTTTTCGCCACCTTCGTAATTTCGGGAAGAACGGTCTTCGGCTGATACTGAACGTGCACATTTTTTACTTGAGTCGGCGCCCAATGGTCATGGTGGTGTCTAGCCTCAAATATTTCTGTATACGGGCGCTTTTTGGTCCTAACATTGGCAAAACGCAGCTTTTCTGGTTCCGGTTGCTCCAGGAGCGGCAGTGGGGAATTCTGAAGCACCTCATTGAAAATCGCCGATGGAACGCGCTCAGTTGCGTAATCGCGCCTTCGCCTGGGGTGTATCGTCAGGGTCTTCTCCCTCTCCTTGGGTGCCGGCATATTTCCGCGCCATCGTGCCGGTTGCAGTGGTTGGGGGAGGATATCTTCCTGCCCAGCAGAGGCGCGACGGAAGCGGAAACAGCTAGAGTTTCCAGTGATGCGAGTGAAGCCCGGCGTCGGCGATTGGGGGATTTTTGTAAGTCCCGTTGCCGGTCGGTCGCAACCGCCCTCCTGTCGCTGGTGTCCCTCGCCCTCATTGTAGGGAGGTTCTGGAGTCGGCACCCAGTCGACATCCAGCTCCTCCTCGACCTCCAGGCAAGGATCTGTCGCTCTCAGCTGCTCCTTTTCAATGCAGGGCAGGCCGAGCAGTTGCATGCGGGCGAGTTTCTTTTTGTGGCGCTTGGATTTGTCCAGCTGTTGCTTCAGATCGAGATATTCCAGCGTGGTGTTTACCTTGGTGGCGTCGAGCACCTCCATCTCCTCCACCGGCACGCGATCGTCGGGAACAAGTACTTTTTCGGGAAAAACATACCGAATGAGATTGAACTTCTTGACATTGTACGCTGGCTTGGGTTTGACAATTTTCAAGTTTTTGCGTAGTCGACGGTGATAGTGCAGGCCAAGTCGCTGATCTATGAATTCCTTGACTGCACTTTGGCGTTCGCGCCTTCTCACGAGCAACGGCTCGGGTGGAAATAGGTCCAAGTTTGGGTCGTCGGGGTCAAGAACCTATAAGCAAAATTGAACGCCGACAATTAAATACCAGGACATTTTTGAATTTAACCTTTCTTTTGCAAATGTTGGATTATTAAGTATATAAAAATAAAATGTTATCCAAAGATATTGACAAATCGGGACGTGGCAGACAGTCTTTCTGCGCGCCTCCGAAAAAAGGCTTACTCTTTTACATTTTTCAAAAGTTTGCAACGAAATTGAATATCCTAAATGTTTCTCTATCACACAAAAAGAAAAACTTGGTAAAATCAACTATAATAATTGTCAAACAGGCCCCAACCAGCAAAATTGTCAATTCTACTAAGTAAATAGTTATTTCACAACAAAACAAGAAAGGAAGCTAGCTTCGGCAAGCCGAAGCTTATATACCCTTGCAGATTATTCCTATTAATTTACAAATTTACAAATATTATTTTACATTAATTTTTCGATCGTTTCTATGGCAGCTATATGATATAGTAGTTCGATCTTTTTATACCCTTGTAGAGGGTATTATAAATTCAGTCAGATGTTTGCAACGCAGTGAAGGAGACGTTTCCGACCACATAAAGTATATATATTCTTGATCAGCACCAATATCCGAGTCTATCTAGCCATGTCCGTCTGTCTGTCTGTCTGTCCGTTTCTATGCGAACTAGTCTCTCAGTTTTAAAGCTATCGCGATGAAACTTTCCCGAAAGTCTTCTTTCTATTGCAGGTAGTACATATGTCGGAGCGAGCCGGATCGGACCATATATCTTAAGGCTCCCATAGGAATATTCAAACAAATATAAGAAAATTCGTTGTAACTTTGTAGGAAGTAGGCGTTTTGATTCTTGACTACTTAAAAACAAAATTTAAATAAATAGAAACGCTGAATCTGGAATCTCTGGAACTGCACCGAGTGAGCATTACTTTATCTGCAAGGGTATATAAGCTTCGCCTGGCCGAAGGTAGCTTCCTTTCTTGTTAAAATTAAAATCGAAATTCGGAAATATTTTAAAATAGTCATATCCCAGAGTAGAAGAGAATGTAATAAAAATCAACATAGATATAATTTGTTTTCCTATTAATTTCCATTTAATTTTTCGACCGTTCCTATGGCAGCTATATGATATAGTGATCCGATTTTTAAAATATTTAATTCGAAATTCAGAAATATATAAAAAATAATATTCCCAAGAGTAGAAGGTAATACTTGAAAAAACACCGATGCTAGAATTTTTTTAACGTTTCCTTCCTATGGGAGCTATAAGATATAGTTGTCAAATCCGGTCGGTTCCGACATATATACTACCTGCAATTGAAAGAAGACTTTTGGGAAAGTTTCATCCCGATAGCTTAAAAACTGAGAGACTAGTTTGCGTAGAAACAGACGGACTGATCAAGAATATATATACTTTATGGGGTCGGAAACGTCTCCTTCGCTGCGTTGCAAACTTCTGACTGAAATCATAATACCCTATGCAAGGGTATAAAAATACACACAATTAGCAAAGACACACACCCAAAACAAAAACAAAATCACGTACCTATTTTAATAGTTACGTAACTATCTTTGTTGGTCAATTTTACCAACTAAAATGAGATGCTTTCGGAAATGTGACTATAATAAAGTGAACTTAATGATTTCGCAATATAATTGGAAAGATCTTTACAACTGTGTGGACATCGAAAGTGCACTCAGGAAAAAATCGCCCTTAATTTTAGAAAATCGCCCGTGATTTTAAAACGCCATTGAACTAAGAAAATTTTTCTTGATAATAGAAAAAATTTCTCAAGTTTATGGAAATTTGCCATTAATTTTTTCAAAAAATTAATAAGAAGAAGAGTCGTTGAATTTTTTCGTGGATTAATGACAATATTTTCTTGGAATAATGGCTACATTTTCCGAACTTTTTTCTTGAGTTAATGGCGAAATCGCTTTTGATTCTATAAAGTAACTACCTATTTTTCTGGAAAGTTGTGTTATTTTTTTAGTATTCTAGTATGGTGGCCTAGCTGTTAAAGGCGTCCGGACCCTAAACATTTGTACAAAAGTCGAACCCTGTATGAACGCTATGATCTCGGAAACTACAAAAGCTAGAAGATTGAGATTTTCCACACATATTCTTGGGCTTCCGAAGCAGCGCAAGTTTGTTTCAGCCGACCGCCAAGCCACCCCTCTAACGCCCACAATCGCCCACTAACGATTTTAAAATGTGTCTGGCGCCCACACCTTTAAAGATGTCCGAGAAGTATAAATGCAATTTTTCTGTGTATATTTATACCTATCGAAAGGTAGAAGACATTCAAATCGGACCATGCATTAAAAAGTTATGCGCAATCAAAAAAAGTTTATATATCCTCGCACTCCCTTTAGCTAAGTGAGATAGTCGGGACACCAACCCGACTATAGCGTTCTCTCTTGTTTTTTTTTAAGTTTTTTTTTTTTCGTATAAAATATTTTTAGTTTGGGGTTTCATTCACTGAATTGTTAAAACCGTTGTTAACAAGAATTAATTAAATTAATTGTAATTGGTATACCAATAATACGACCTTTAACACTTCAAGCATCTTAAGCCATTGCATTGCAAGAAGCACGCGTGGCCGAGTGGGTAAGATGTCTTTCTATGATGTGAACGGTCGCGGGTTCGAGTTCAGGTCAAGGTAAGAATTTTTCCTTAAATCTTTTACATGTTTACATAAAGTTTATTTTGTACTTAAAATGCATTGTAATTAATAAACATTTATAATAAATTTAAATTTAAATTTAAATTAAATAAATAAAAATGTTCCCTATTTTCACGATATGATGGTCATTAAAACCAGAAAGGGTTCCTCTTAGTTAACAAACCTAAATGCAAAAGCGATACAAAAAATCAGTCGGACAAAATTAAAAAAAAAAATTTATAAACAAAAATACTTTTATTTTTCTATTTTCAAGTGAATTTTTTTTTAATTTTAGGGTTTTTGCCGTAAAATTCAGAAAAATAGCTAATAATGTGCAACTGAAATTTTCTATAGCGTTCTAAACACTTTTTTAATGATTGCGTTCCTGATAGGCTTCCTTTAAAGCCGAACAGGCCTTCATTGGTTTACAAACGCGCTTCAAAGACTTAAAAATCTTAAAACACACACATAAAAAGTATAAAAAATCCGGTAGGCCATCCGATTTTTCTTAACATGTGGTGGCTCGATCTGATTTTAATGTTCTTAACAGTCATTGCTATTCTATGTATTTAAATCGTTGTAAATTTGAATTTACAAATGATCCGAAGCAGTTTTATAACTTTGTTAACGCCAAGCGTAAGTCATCAGCTTTGCCTTCATCGGTTCGTTTTAACTGAATGGAGGCATCGACAGATTCTGAAATTGCTGATTTATTTGCCGACTTTTTCCAAACTACTTATAGCTCCTCTTCATGGTCAAAATCAAACTACCCTAATCCCTTAAATAAGACAAATTTAGGGTGTTCAATTGCGTTGCAAACTTTGTAAACTGTAAAAGTGTAAATCAATTCCAACAACAATTTCTATACAAAATAGTTTTCAAAAGTAGGCCTTTAAAACTATTTTGTATAGACATTGTTGTTGGAATTGATTTACATTTTTACACTTTACAAAGTTTGCAACGCAATTGAACACCCTAATTGTATTTTTATACCCTTGCAGAGGGTATTATGATTTCAGTCAGAAGTTTGCAACGCAGTGAAGGAGACATTTCCGACCCCATAAAGTATATATATTCTTGATCAGCATCACAAGACGAGTCGATCTAGCCATGTCCGTCTGTCCGTCCGTTTCTACGCAAACTAGTCTCTCAGTTTTAAAGCTATCGGGATGAAACTTTCGTAAAAGTCGTATTTCTATTGCAGGTAGTATATATGTCGGAAACAACCGGATCGGACAACTAGATCTTATAGCTCCCATAGGAAGGATCAAAAAAAAATAAACGTAAAAAAATTCTAGCTCCGGTGTTTTTTGAAATTTTACCTTCTACTCTTGGAAATATTTTTTTTTATATATTTCTGAATTTCGGTTTTTTTGTTTTTTAAATCGGATCACAATATCATATAGCTGCCATAGGAACGGTCGAAAAATTAAATTAAAATTAAAAATTAAAAAAATTAAAATTAAAATTAAATTAATAATAAAAAAATTATATCTTTGTTGGTTTTTATAACATTCCCTTCTACTCTGGGATATGACTATTTTGAAATATTTCCGAATTTCGATTTTAATTTTTAAAAGATCGAACTACTATATCATATAGCTGTGATAGAAACGATCGAAAAATTAAAGTGAAATAATAAGAAATTTAACATTTTTGCGATTTGTAAATTAATAGAATGATCTGCAAGGGTATATAAGCTTCGGCTTGCCGAAGCTAGCTTCCTTTCTTTTTCCCCTATAATTACCGAAAGTTCTCTCTTAAGAGATTTAGCAACAACAACGCCAACTTATTCTCCCGGTCCTGACGGACTTCCTGGTTATGTGCTTAAGTTTTGTGCATCAACCATTTGCAAACCTATTCTTAAACTCTTTCATTTGCCTATTTCATCATCAGTTTTTCCAACTATCTGGAAGGACTCTTTTATTATTCCACTTCACAAAAAGGGTGCGAAGGCGGATGCCCAGAATTATAAAGGTATTTCTAAACTGTCGGCAATTCCAAAAGCCTTTGAACGTCTCATCACATCCCATTTACAACATTTATGTTCCTCGCTAATATCACCGTGTCAGCATGGTTTCGTTAAGCGAAGATCGACTACCACCAACCTACTTGAATTGCCATCTATTGTAATTAATGGATTTAACAATAAAATGCAGACCGACGGTATATATACACTCATAAAAAAAATCGAAGAATTTCCTTAAAATCTAGAAAATTCTTTCTTGAATTTTTGCCAAAGGCGACCTCACCTTTGTTTCAAGAAATGGTTTTTTTGAAAGGCACCATTAAAACAAGAAAAAATATTTCTTGTTTCAAGAAATTAAATTTCTTAAAACAAGAAAGGGTTTTTTAGAAAGCCACCATTAAAACAAGAAAAAATATTTCTTAAAACAAGAAAGGCGATTCTTGTTTCAAAGGTGGTTTGTTTCTTGTTTCAAGAAATTAAATTTCTTAAAACAAGAAAGGGTTTTTTAGAAAGGCACCTTTTAAACAAGAAAAATTCTTTCTTGCTTAAATTTCCTTTCAAGAAATTTTATTTCTTGATTTAAGAAATAATATTTCTTGAAAGGAAGTTTTATATTAACACTGAAACCCTAAAAATAAAATGTAACTAGGTTTTTTCTTTTGCATATTATATTTATTTACATTTAAAACATTTAACACTTAACATTTAAACATTTTTAAATAGCACATTTTTGACTCAAGAAAACATTATTATAACCAAATATGTAGTTGCAGGCATAAAAAATTATTTTCTTCGGCTTTCCTCATCTGGAAAAAAGAGTTATTGGGATATCAATGATTTGTTTTTAGATAATAATAGATAGATGTTTTTAGATAATAGATAATAATGTAATGTTAATAATAGCCAAAATACAAACACGTTGGTCAGACGACCGAGAGAGGAGCAAGACAGGTAGAAAATGAAGATGGAAGGGTTGAAAATCGAATTTCAGAGAGAGAGGTGTATGTACGTGTCTCTCCCGTGCCTCTCTCTCTGAAATTCGATTTTCAACCCTTCCATCTTCATTTTCTACCTGTCTTGCTCCTCTCTCGGTCGTCTGACCAACGTGTTTGTATTTTGGCTATTATTAACATTACATTATTTACATACAGTCCTTTGCGCGAAGGGAGACCGAATGTAAGCAGGGCAGATCATGTCAATTTTAAGAAGGAGAAGAGAGAACATCGCGACGCGTAGGTCAAGCGAGCGAGAGAGAGGAGCAGAATATGAAAGGGTTGAAAATCGGGTTTCAGATCGGGTGAGCCGCGTACATGCATAGATATTTACATGCATACATAAGTATGTCAAACAAATACAACATATTTTTCTTACCTTAGAAGGTTTTAAAACAAAATTACAGCTTCGCCAAACAAATTATTTGGCTGATGCAACTGCAGGTATTTTCACTCTGAAAAATAAATAAAATGCGAGTAATAAGATATAGTTATTATAGAACTCTACACCCACAAATTTATATACAAATGTATGTATGTACGTAGCTCTTAGCTAAAAAACAATTCACCTAAATTGGTATACGCTTGGTAAAGAGATTTGAAATTTATCCTTTAATTACATACATACAATTGTACGCGCGCTATACAAAAAATTATATATTTACATACCTTTGAATATTTGGAAAAAGGCTTCACCTCTTATCCGCTTTAAAATCACGTCCATCACTTACGAATTTTTTTCACAACTGACGCTCGGGGGCTCAGAGAAGTCGGTAGCCGGGTAGTCGTCGGGCCGAGAAGGCCCTTCGTCCCACTTCGTTTTTCTTGTCGTTAACATTCGGCAGACGAAGGAAGTCAATGGCTACTTTTCTATATTCTAGGGTCATTTCATTCATATATTCAAAGGTGATTTTGCCCTTAAATACGTACAAAAATGTTTTGGCTCATTTTTCTATTTTTAAGAAAAATTCTTTCTTGATTTTTTTCCATCAAAAAAAGGTTTTCTGTATTCAAAGGCAAATTTTCTAATAACAAGAAATTTTTTTTCTATTTTCAAAGGTAGGCCGATTCAATGGCGAGATTTCCAAAATTTAGAAATTAATTTTTATGAGTGTACAGATTTCAGTAAAGCCTTTGACTTCGTTAACCACTCTCTTCTTTTATTCAAACTAGACTTGCTTGGGTTTCCATGTAATCTTTTAACTTGGATTTCAAGTTATTTAAATGGGAGGACTTAGAAGGTTATATTTATGGGGCAATTTCGTCAGCATTTTTTCAAAGCTATTTTTTGTCCATCTTGAGACATGTTATCATATTTCTATTTCTATTGTTGAATGCGGTTAGCACCAAGCTTTAAAATGTGACATTTCCCTTTTTTTAATTACCTTGGTAATTTATAAACAATTAAAAAGTAAAACCAATATACTGGGACAATTCCGCCACATAGGGGGGTAAAATCGGCACACCACTGGGGCAAATTCGTCACCTGTAAAAATGTAGGGAATTTAACGCCTGTAAATATGCTACACTGATCAAGCGTAGATTTTTTGGTAACGTCCTATATTTGCTGCTGCTGCCGGTAGTCCGTTCATTAGCCAGCTCGTCTGTATTTAAAATAGGTGCGAATTTACCGCAAGCATAGGGTGGAGAAATTTCCCCACACAGTTATTTTTTAGAAATAACTATTTTTCTTCCGAAATTAAGGGAGAAATTAAAAATCACTTACGCAGAAATGCACATTATAGCACTGTGTATTATAAAAAAAAAACCTGTATCTTATCCCTTTTTAATTGTGGCATACAGAAAAAATTTCGTCGAGAGCTAAATGTAGCTTTTGAACTATGAAAACGCATTTAATATTATAGCTTAATTATCTTGGCCTACCGTGCAAAAGAAATGCATTGGTTGTGTCATGCCTTCTTGAAGGCCTAATAAAAAAAAATTATATATTTTTACGTCTTATGGATTCCGAGATATTGCAGGTGACGAAATTGCCCCAGTGACGAAATTGCCCCACTCTCCCCTTATAATGTATGCTGATGATGTTAAGCTTTGTTTGACATACAATAATATAGAGTCTGGTTTCGGCTTACAATCAAACATTGATAATTTTTAAGGGGCTGTCCATATATTACGTAAACACAATTTCGGCGATTTTTGACCCCCCCCCCATGTCACCAATTCTTCATACAAAAAAAATTGCACTAGAGTAATCATTTGTTGAACCCCCCAAGTATGGTGTGAGGTTACTTTAATTTTAAATATTATACACAAATAACCATCTTGACCTTAAGAATTCGCGACGGGTCGATAAGCAGTGAAAATTGTGATCATCGTCTTATTTAAAAATCAATTTTTTTTCTTTGGGTAACCTTAAACCTGAACTGATCTACTTGAAACCCATTTGACTTGGGTCGTTTGGGTATTTGGGTAAAATTTTACCCAAACCCAAACGACCCGAAAATGTTGGGGTCGGGTTGGGTAGGTAAATTTTTAAAAGAAAGCCTGACCTACTTGACCTGAAATTTCGTTTGGGTACCCAAATAACCCATTTTGTATACCCATGCCGGGCTCTAATTATTATCCTCTTAATTTACCACAATGTACATCAAACTTTAGTCTGCACGAGCCCTTTCGTATTCTTTGTAATCATTATAACATCCTTTATCATTTAATTTGCATTTCAACTTTTATCCCGGTATTAAAACTAATATATTGGAGCATATCCGTTTTCCTCCTAATTACAGTAAAACTAGTAAAACTTACAAAAAAGTAAGACCAAATTCCTTTCTATCTTGAATTTAACTTCCAAAAGTGAATTGGAAGACGTTTTTTTCCCATTGGTTTTGTTTTTGTAAAATTTGTTCTATCGCCCAAAAGTTACTTCTTCGCGATCGCAACCCTTTTTAGGTAGTCAAATGTGTTCTATCGCCATTCTATCGTCCAGAAGTGCCTCAGAAGTGACTTCTATGCGATAGGTGTATATTTTGTTTTTGTAAAATGTGTTCTATCGTCTTTCTATCGCCTAGAAGTGTCTCAGACAGGGACCGAAAATAACTGTTTTTGTAAATTTTTCTTACCAAAAAAATCATGCACTTAGAAGAGTCGAAAAATTTGTTTAAATACACCATTATTTTTGCTAGCCATTGTAGTTTACAAATCCGTAATAATTTTTATTTTTTTGATTTTTATATAAAGGTCAAAAATAAATAAAAATCTTTAAAAAAAGCCAACCGTGCATATTGTATAACTATATTTTTTTTTAATATATTTTACCCACAAAATCGCCATAAATCAAGTTTGAGTTTTATTTTTGATCACGACGAATAACGGTTATTTGTCAACTTTTATTATAAAACTTAAAAAATAACAGTTATTCTTTGAGTTTTACTTTACGAATCCGAAAATAACTGTTAAAATGTGATTTTTAACATAAAACTCATAACAGTTAGGGTCCCTGGTCTTCTCCACGATCGTGACCCTTTTTGTTTTTGTAAAATGTGTTCTAAAATGTGAATTAAATTTAAATATAAATTGGTAAGTGTGTGAAAAGTAAAGGGCATACTATTTTAATAGATTTGGCTATTAATAATATTGCAGGCCGCAAATACCATCCTTCTCTAATATTAATTTTTATTTTCTTTTGCAGTAATAATATAAATTTCAGGTATTGTTGATAATTTGGCAGTAAGTAAATTGTAATTATAATATATTAAATACTAAATATAAATATTAATAATTATATTTTTATCTTATTTGTTTTGGTTTCCCTTTTTTTTAATATTTATGTTATTTTTATCTTTTTTGTTTTCTTTTTTTAGGAAATATTCATAATGGTTTTTTTTGTTCTTTTTTGTTTTCTTTTCCTTTTTTGTTTAGGAAAAATTAATAATTTTCCTTTCATCTTTTTTTTCATTTCTATTTCTTGTTTAGGAAATAAAATAGTAAAATAAATATGTATGCAGTTTATTTAAATAAAGAATATTTTTTTTATTTTAAGAAGAAAAGTTTCTAAATATCCAATTTTTCTAGATTTTAGAAAAGTATTTCTGCTTTTCAGAATTTTTTTTTTCTAATTTTTAGTAAATTGCCATCGACTGAGAAGCATGGCGAATTTCTTGATTTAATGGCGATTTCGGGATGTTTTTTTTTTTTTTGAGTGTATGAAAGCTGAGATCTCGGAAACAACAAAAGCTAGAAAGTTGGGATTACCCACACATATTCTCGTGCTTCCTACGCAGCGCAAGTTTATATCAGCCGAGGGCCACGCCCCCTCTAACGCCTACAATCGCCTTAAAGGATTTTAAAAGGTGTCTGGTGTCTGGTTTAAGAGAACGGCCTATGTACGAACGTTAACATCAAAGTCCATAAAAACCCACCTTTATAATGCCGCGCTCTACGTCGAGCTTAATGGGTTCCTTGTGCGGCACCAGCTGGTTGAGCCACTCCTCCCGCGTGAGGCATCCCTTCACCGTTCGCTGGCCCTGCATAATTTGGTGGCGGTGCAGCTTTCCGCGCAGGCCGTCTCCGTGCTTGAAGTGGAATCCACGCAGCTGGAACTTGTCGCCAATCTTGCCCACCTGAAGGTAGTCCTCGTCGTCGCTGCTCTGCTCGCTGGGCGTGGAGCCCACACTGCCCTCGATGCTCTCGTCGCAGCGCAGCTGCTGCTCCGCGTCCGGAAGGTACTTCAGTTTGCCAGTGCGCTCCAGGAAGAACTGCTGGGTCACTCGGGCCTTGTCGCGCCGCACACAGTCCTCGCGGTGCATGATCGCCTTTAGCCTCTCCGTTTCGGTAAGGGTCTTAGGAAAGACCTTGCGCTTCCGGATGATGGGCCTGAGCTCCACGTGCTTGCGGAAGCTGCGCTCGATGGCGTCATCAATGACCGCCACGTCGGCGCGCAGGTCGTCCTCGGCCACCGTCCGCCCCTCGATCTCCTTGACGTCCGCCTCTTGCTTTCGGCGCTCCTGCAGCTGTTCCTCCTCGCGCTGCTTCTTCCGCAGGTAGATGTCCTTGTAGCGGGCAGCCCGGCGCCTGCGCTCCTCCTCGATTTTGAGCTTGTTGGCCGGCTTGTCCGGACTGCGGTACAGGTGGACGAGGCGCGGCGATCGAGGTGGCGACAGCTCCTCCACGGGCGTGTCCTTGATCTTTGTGTTGTAGCGCTGCGGCACTGCCAGCCGCTCCGCCTTCAGCTCGGCCTCGACGTTCACCTTGGTGTTTTTCTTGGCCTTTCGCCGCGCCATGTAGCGCTGAACGCGCCAGAAAGTCAGCGCGTTCTGCTGCTCGATCTCGTCCTGCTCGTACGTCGTCTTGTAGTCCATGCCGTGAAAGTCCAGTCGAAGCGGATTCTGAAGATCGATCACCTCGCAGATGTGCGTATCGGAGGTCTCCGACCCAGTGCTGGCGCACAGATTGTCCCCGTGCTTAACCAACTTGCCAATCAGACTGAACTCTTGCTCCTTCGTCAGCGGAGTGTGGCGGAGCGCTACCGGATTGACCAGGCAGTGCGACTTCCGCGGATCCTGGGTGAGGAAGAACTTTTGGCGGGCAGGCGTCAACTTTGCCAGCTGCTCGTAGTTCTTCGGACACCGGCCAATGCGGGGTCGCGGGGCGCCGGCCACGAAGCTGGCCGGGCACGGGCGCCTCCACTCTTCGCCCTTGAAGTTGGGTGGACGCGTGGAGGGCGCGTGCATTGAGTCAACCAGCTCCCCCGAATCGGGCTCTCCTTCCGAAGACTTTTGCACCTGGTCGCTCTTCTGGCCATTGCCGGCCATCTGGAATTGCTGCTCTGCACTGGTGGTGGAGCAAACATCCTTGCGCGTCTTTACCGTCTCGATGCCGTCTCTAAAATGGGAGTTGCTTGAGCTGGCGAAGTCGCGACCTTTGCCACGGATTACGCCCTTGCCGCACTCATCGCGTTTGTGCAGCTCGGTGCGCTTGATGTTGGCGTCTGGAAACTCGAGATTCTGGACCGTTAGTAGGTTGTTCGAGTCCCGCTGCCCAAAGAAGTCAATGTTCCGAAACTTCTCAATGGTCCTCTCCTCCCGTGTCTTCCTTTCCGGATGCTTTCTCGGTGGGCATTGGCGCTTAGCGCCTGCACTTTCGATTTTCTGCTGCGGTCGATCGATACTGTCCGATAGTTCGGTGGACGTGGCGTGGCCAATGGTTTCGTAGTTCATTTTGTTTTTTGTTAGCGCATGCATTTTCAATGTCCTCCCTACCGTCTCCTGCCTATGGAACCTAGCTTGCAAATCGGTGTTTGGCATCGACATCGCCGAGTTCGTTCAATACTCAGTTAAGAGCATTTATAATATATATAAATATATGTAATTATTTCCAAAGCACAGTTTTGTTTTGAGTCCACAATTAAAATGGAACAATGAAATTTACAGCCATACTTCCCCAGTCCGGTTTTGAAACATGTGGAGCTTGATTTCACAATAAAACTAGTTCTCGCATTTATATCACCTGCTATAATTACATTTTGAATGTTTTTTAATATAGACATCGGTCTTCGCTAAACATCTTTGAAGCAGGGACCGAAAATAATCGTTATTGAAAAATAAAAGTCACCAAGAAGGAAGAGAGCTACATATACAGTGGTGGTCACGAGTTTAGCACACTTTGCTCGCTCATCGTATTTTCGCCATATCTCCTTTCTCGTTAGAGATTTCGACTTTTTGTTTCACCCACCTTCGTGCTGGAGAGGAGATATGGAGAAAATACGATGGGCGAGCAAAGTGTGCTAAACTCGTGACCACCACTGTATGTATGTTCTATATGGGCAATTCCATATTGTCGTTCAAGACATTTGCACACCTTTAAAATTGAACAAAAATATTTTTTAATTTTTAGAATTTTGTGTAAAAATCTTGATTTTATACCACTTTTAGTTTTTAAGATATCGTTAAAAAGCTGCCGTATTCGCTCGGGACAAAAATAGAAGTGGATTTCGGGGAAGGTCATTCAACACCAGATTTGAGCGAATTCTAATATTTGAATGCGATTTCGCTGTGAAATGGTTTTGGTTTTACTCAAAAATTGTTTGCGGTTTTCGTTTTATGCAGTTTCAATCACATTCGTTCGGGACATGTCGCTCGGGACGTTTTTTCTCACCGTTTTGTAAAGTCTATTTCTTTACCTGTATCCCTCAACTGCTGGCTGTTTTGCCCATAACTTAATAGTTTAACATGTAAATGAAGCATTCAGTACAGAAAAATGTCACAAACTAGCATTTGTATTTGATAAATTAACAACAGAAGACAGGTCCATTTTGCCTATTTTGATGGGGTTTGTCATAAAAATAATGTAACTATACTCCACATTTTTAGTTTAGCTCAGGATCTAACTTATATTATAAACTAATATGGCGGAAAAATCATGTGGAAATTTGTTTTATTCAAGTTTTAAGGTTTTTGGCTTGGTGGACTTTTTGGTGGAAGTGCCCATATATATTGCTTCGGACAGATTAAACTAAGTTGTTTGACATCAAAAAATCAACAAACTTTTTGGTAATTCCACGTGAATTTTTGAATTTACCGTGTATTTTTAAAAAATGTTGTTCTAATTATGCTCCGATTTTTTCGTGATTTTTTTAACCAATAAGGGTTTGTACTGGAATTTCGCAACTTGGCATGTTGATTACATAGTTCTTATATAATTTAAACCAATTTAAATTTTGTTTATCTTTTAAAATCAAATAAAAACACCTCTTAACGAGGTAAAAAATTAGTGACGATCGCACCTTCAACATACAAAAGTTCTGATATCAACATTTGTGACGAAAAATCATCACAGTCTTCATTAAGTACACTTTCTAAAATTTTATCATTCGGGCCACCCTAGCAAACTGTTCCATCCTTTATCTTCTTCACTCTTCACAGGCTTTTTTATTGCAGCGTGTCGAATGAGAAAATATTAGAAAGTCTATTTAATGACGAGTGTAATCATTTTTCGTCATAAATGTTGATATCAGAACGTTTGTATGTTGAAGGTGCGATCGCCACTAGTTTTTTACCTCGTTAAGAGGTGTTTTTATTTGATATCAAAAGTTTTTGTTTGTTTACCTTTGCTCTCATAGAAGCTAATATATACAATTAAATTTAAATTTGCCTATCATAATTTTAAAACTATTGTATTTAAACGAATTAAGTTAAAAAGGCGTTGAAGTATTTCAAAACACCGCTCTCTCTCCCAAGTCTTGGTATGCAATCCTTTAAGTTTTAGCAATACCTTTAATTTGGTGTTATATAATAGTAGTCGCCTTCGCACACTCTCCTTGTGCGCTTCGTCACTACATGGACTGCCGTCCATAGTGATTGCGGCCGTGGGAATTTTTTTGTCAAGCCTTTTTTAAAAAAAGTAGGCCAGCTGCGGATCGTCCACAGATCGCTGTGTTGATCCGATTTTTATGAAACCAAATTTATTTTGTTAAGAAATAATTTAGAAACTTTCTGAACCTAACCTACAAAGAATATCTCAAAAACTCTGGTATGGGCACTGTTCAGACGAACACTGATAAATAAAGTATTAGATTTTATGAGCTTTGTGCATGTCATGTGTCAATATGTAAATCTATCTAGAGCCATAAACTATGATCTGTAATTGAAAACCCTACAATGAAGCGGTGTTAGCAGCTCAGAGAAAAATGAAATTTTTGAAATTTGAATATGGGAATGGTTTGTCCATCATATCTCCACTTGTGTCCACCCTTTAGTTTTTTTTGTCCACGTCCAGTTTCGAAAATATAGAATTTCAAAAATTTTCGAAAATCAAAAATTTTAATTTTTCAAAATTTTTTTTGGAAGACTGATATGTTTTTGATGTGTCCACTTGTGTCCACCTTTCTGAATTTTGAAAAAGTCAAAACTTTAGAAGATGTACCACTTTTTAGTTTTAACTAAATTTCAAAAAAATTAAACTCGAATTTTTCAAAAATTTGTTTGGTGGAAAGATATGTCCTCGATGTGTCCACTTGTGCCACTTTTCAGAATTTTGAAAAAGTCAAAACTTTGGAAGATATACCACTCTTTAGTTTTTACTAAATTTCGAAAAAATTAAACTAGAATTTTTCAAAATTTTTTTTGGTGGACAGATATGTCCTTGATGTGTCCAGCTTTCAGAATTTTAAAAAAGTCAAAACTTTGGAAGATATACCACTTGTTAGTTTTCACTGATATACCACTTTAAAGTTTTCCCTAAATTTCGTAAAAATTAAACTCGAATTTTTCAAAATTTTTTTTGGTGGACAGATATGTCTTTGATGTGTCCACTTGTGTCAACCTTTCAGAATTTTGAAAAAGTCAAAACTTTGGAAGATATACCACTTTTTAGTTTTCACTGAAATTGAAAAAAATTAAAATTTGAATTTTTCAAAATTTTTTTGGTGGACAGATATGCCTTCGGTAAAAATATTAACATTACAAAGTGCATTCACTATGGTGGGGACATCAACTGGTTTGGGTGGCATCGTGTTAGATGATTTAATTATTCACTTCACTCTTTGCTAGGCTTAAACTGTTTTTAAATACTGTTTGTATGTTTTCACTGTACACCAAATAAATTTTAAAGGTTAAGTAATATTAGTATACCTTCACTAAATTTTAATATCCTTCGCGACGAAATGGATATATAAATAAGTTACCGCAGTTAACTCTTAGTTGCTTAAATACAAAAATATGAAAAGAATAAATTATATTCTTGCAATACTTTGTTTTAAATCAAAAACAAAAGAGAACGCTATAGTCGGGTTGTTGTCCCGACTATCTAATACCCGTCACTCAGCTAAAGGGAGTGCGAACGCTGTGTCGGGTTGGTGTCCCGACTAATAATCGTAACTCAGCTAAAGGGAGTGCGAGGGAGATAGATATATAATTTTTGATTGCGTATAACTTTTTAATGAATGGTCCGATTTGAAAAATGTCTTCTACATTTCGATAGGTATAAATATACACAACAATTATGCATTGCATTTATACTTCTCGGAAATCTTTAAAGATGTGGGCGCAGGACCCATTTTAAAATCGTTAGTAGGCGATTGTGGGCGTTAGAGGGGGCGTGGCGCTCGGCTAAAATAAACTTGCGCTGCGTAGGAAGCCAAAGAATATGTGTGGGAAGTCTCAACCTTCTAGCTTTTGTAGTTTCTGAGATCTCAGCGTTCATACAGACGGACAGACAGACAGACAGACGGACAGACGGACATGGCTAGATCGACTCGGCTAGTGACCCTGATCAAGAATATATATACTTTATGGGGTCGGAAACGCTTCCTTCTAGCTGTTACATACTTTTGCACGAATCTAGTATACCCTTTTACTCTACGAGTAACGGGTATAAAAATGACTAAAAAATATACATGTAAAAATAGATCTATTAATAAATTTATTATACCCGTTATCGTAGAGTAAAAGGGTATACTAGATTCGTGCAAAAGTATGTAACAGCTAGAAGGAAGCGTTTCCGACCCCATAAAGTATATATATTCTTGATCAGGGTCACTAGCCGAGTCGATCTAGCCATGTCCGTCTGTCCGTCTGTCCGTCTGTCCGTCTGTCCGTCTGTCCGTCTGTCCGTCTGTATGAACGCTGAGATCTCGGAAACTACAAAAGCTAGAAGGTTGAGATTTCCCACACATATTCTTTGGCTTCCTACGCAGCGCAAGTTTATTTTAATTGAGCGCCACGCCCCCTCTAACGCCCACAATCGCCCACTAACGATTTTAAAATGGGCCCTGCGCCCACATCTTTAAAGATTTCCGAGAAGTATAAATGCAATTTTGTTGTGTATATTTATACCTATCGAAATGTAGAAGACATTTTTCAAATCGGACCATTCATTAAAAAGTTATACGCTTTATAAATTGTCAACATATATCTATCTCCCTCGCACTCCCTTTAGCTGAGTTACGATTATTAGTCGGGACACCAACCCGACACAGCGTTCGCACTCCCTTTAGCTGAGTGACGGGTATTAGATAGTCGGGACACCAACCCGACTATAGCGTTCTCTCTTGTTGTTTATGAATTTAAAGAAAAACAAAAAGATATTAAAAGACAACTTTATTAAAATAATAAAAATTAAACTTATTTTAATATTAAGAATAAGTCTTTAAAAAACTTATATAGGTGTTAAAAGTAATATAAATATATAAAGAAATGTATGTGGTATACTTGCAGTTTTCCAGTTGTAGTCCAATAAGTTTCTTTTTATCGCACTACACTGTAAAAACAGCAAATTTGACGAGGTAGTTATTAAAAGTTAAAAAAACGAGATCAGCAAATTTATATTTAACTAGCAATACCCGAAGCGACGTTGTCCGCTACTATAAGCAAAGCATTTATTGCTGATTTTTTCATATTTCCAAATTCAAATTAATATCCGAGAAAAATCCCGCCTAACCTTAGCTAAACAGTAAACCCATCTAAAGCGCACTAACATTCTATCCATATCCTTCTAGCCATAACATACCTTACCTTAACACCGCATTAACCCTAATATTACCTCACCTTAACCCCACGTATTTTATTCTCACCCTTTGCATACTTTTTTAGCACCCTAATGCTGTTTTCACTATTTCCTC